CCTCTATTCCAGGTTCCTATTTATCCTGCAGCAAACCTCTACCCTGATGGAAATCCCAACACAAAGAAATCTGCACCCACCAGGGCCCGGGTCCTGCCTTCTATTTATTTTGGGGCCTCTCTGGTGATGGCTTTGGGAGTTTAACCTCTGATGTCACCTGGGGACATGAGACCTCGGAAGACAGGAGCCTTAGGGGCAGTGACAGGGCCCTCGGGAGGAGCCCCTGCCCAGTCAAACCTCAGGGAGGTGGTGGTACCACTGCCCCCCCAGGGAGGTCACGGTTCTGGAAGATGGGGCAGGGCAGAAGGGGCTTGCCTTTCTGACTCTTCTCAGAAGGTGGAAGGATTTTTTCTTAAGTGGAAGTCATGATTTTCTGAAATACTTCCTGGATGGGCAGAGTTCCCATCAAAGACAACTTTTTATCAGAAACACACATCCTATGGCTGAGGGGTGGCGGGCATTGAACCAGTCCACACTGCTGCCCCACTACCGCCAGGGCCTTTCTTCTTGATATTCTTAGAACACCTCCAAGGGCCCTGGCGAGGGGAAGGGTTGGGAGAAATGTCTCAGAATTCAATGCTCGGGGCTCTACTGGCTCCCTGGTTCTTTCCACAGATGAGATGTGAGTGGCACCTAGAAGCTTCTAGAGTGATGCAAGGTAAGATGACAAAATTCCCAACCCAATACACGCCCACTCCCCTTTATTTCCTGAAAACAAAACAGTTCCTCTAAGCAATGGCCTCATGAGGTGCAGCAAAGCTCAGCCCATCACCATTTCCTTCCGGTGCCTCCACATCCTGCTTCAGCTGCTGACACTGCCATCACCTCAGGGACACTACCTCGACCTGGTGGTGGGGGTGGGGTTGGAGGAACAGGCCCCAATCTAGGAGATCAGTCCCTAGGTTCAGGCCAGCAGCCCAAGTGTTTAGCTGGAAGGTGCTCTTGGCCCAGGGTCTGTCCCATTACAGAAGCCAGTGCCCCTGCACTGTCTTACACCATCCTAATGTTCATTTTTATTTATTAACTTTTAAAAATATTTTTATTGATTTCAGAGAGAGGAAGGGAGAGGAAGATAGAAACATCAATAATGAGAGTCATTGACCGGCTGTTTCCTGCATGCCCCCTACTGGGGATGGAGCCTGTAACCTGGGCAGATGCCCTGACCGGGAATCAAGCTGTGACCTCCTGGTTTGTAGGTTGACACTCAACCACTGAGCATGTCGGCCGGGCCTAATGTTCATTTTTAAATATTACCACAGCACCCTGTGTGGGAAGGCCCCCACCATCCTTCAGGGTACCTGCAGGCCTCCTCCTGCATGGGGTGGGGATTTGCATTTTGTTGGCCTTATGTGCTCAGGTCTTGGTTTTGTGGGTGATGTTCTCCAACATGTATTGTACGAAGGCAGGAAGTAAGGTTTGTGGGTGCTGCTCCAGGCCAGGTGCTGTTGAGGGGTTCTGTAGATTCCAGCCCAATTGAGATAATTCACATCCCGTAAATTACACCCTTTTAACTAAACAAGCCAGTCTATGATTTTAGTAACTCATAAAGTATGCAACCATTCCCAATTCCACAGCATTCCCACCACCCCAAAAGACAATGTACCCATCAGTAGTCACTCCCCACTCCCTGTTAAGGATTGAATTGTGCCCCCCGAAAGATATGTTCAAATCCTGATCCCTGGTTACTATGAAGGTTTCAAAACCTTGTTTGGAAATGGGGTCTCTGTACGTATTATTAGTTGAGGTGAGGTCACACTGGAGTAGGGTGGCCCTAATGCAAGGACACATGTTCTTATAAGAAGAGGGAGATTTGGGACACAGACACACAGAGGAGATGGTCATGTGATGACGGAGGCAGACATGGGCAATAGGTCTATAAGTCCAAAGACAATAAGGATTGCCAGTAAGCCACCAGCAGCTTGGAGAGGCAGAAAAGACCCTTCCCAGGGTTGAGAGCAAAGAGCTCACAGCACATGGAGGTGTGCTGGGATCTGAACTGGGTGTTCCTACATCCCCACCTCTGTTCCACCAAGACAGAGAAGGGTTGGGGTGTGCATGTACCAGCTCTCTCTGCTTCAGTTTCCCATAGGGGCAAATACAGATACATTGTTTGACAAAACCGTGTCACCTGGGGGACACAGAAGAAGGTGAGGAAGGTCATGGGTCATTGATGTATCCACTTAGGAGCCATGCCTCCTTCTTCCAAGGATAGAGTCCAAGGTTTCAGAAGATGCCACTGCATTGTTACTGACCAGAGGCATGTCAGGAAGGGCGGAACATATGAAACGGTGCCTCCTGAACTCCCACCCACACACATGCCCCTCACTGGCTGTCCACGCTTCCTTTTCACATCAGGATCCTCAGATATGGCCTTGAGTGTGCACTGACCTCAGAGGCAGAGGGCAATTCGGGAGGGAAGGAGTCACAGCTCTGAGCTATCCACGGAGGGCCAGGCCTAGCCACTCAAGGGTTGCACTCTCTCCCGGGGGTGGACTGTGAAGAGCTCCCAGCAAGTCAGCTGCAGCTGTGGGTCTGACCCAGGGCTGCCCTGCCCCCAGGGGACCCCAGGCAATGTCTGAGGACATCTGTGTTTGTCACACTGTGGGTGTTCCTGGCATCGAGTGGGTGGAGGTCAGGGATGCTACTCAACACCTCACAGTGCCCAGGATGGCCCCCCAAGAGTGCCCAAACCCAAATGTCTTACTTGGGACTCGGCTGCAGGAGTGACCTTGTACCTTCTCAGAATCCAGTTTTAAGTCAGATTCCCCCTTCCTGCTTAAGCTATCTGAACTTCAAAATTCCAGGAAATGAGAAACACAGCTCACCAGCTGGGGCACGTCTGGAACTTCCCCGACACTGCTGGGGGATTTTGTTAAACCTCCACTTTATGAGGCTCTGGAGATGTGAGGACAACTCCCAAAAGATAATTAATGGACTGACTTTTCCATGAACTTTAAGAGCTCAGCCTCGGAGCAGGAGCAATTCCACATAAGAAACAGCCTGACCTAAACTTGTTAGAATATGAATTGTCTAAAAAGTTCAGGAACTGAAATAGCACTTCCACGGATCCCAAGGGACTAAAATACCGCTTTTGGTGAGAAAGAGAAAGAAAGAGAGGGAACTTAGACTTCAGCTGATTACAGTTACTTGGGGCTACTGGTACATGGAGAACACTGAACTGGGCTTTGTAGGAGATACAGATGATAAAGACACACTCCTTTAGGAAGGTTCCAATAAAAAGTTATCAGCCATGAAAAGACACAAGGAACTATAAATGCACGTCACTAAGAGAAAGAATACAGTCTGAGAAGGTGACACTGTGATTCCAACTCTAGGATATTCTGGAAAAGGCAGAACTACACAGACTTTAAAAGGTTCAGTGGAGCCCGGCTGGGCGTGGCTCAGCGGTTGAGGGTCGAGCTAGGATCCAGGCAATTGGGGTTCGATTCCCGGTCGGGGCACATGCCCGGGTTGTGGGCTTGCTCGATCAATGACTCTCTCATCATTGATGTTTCTATCTCTCTCTCTCCCTCACCTTTCCTCTCTCTGAAATCAATAAAGATATATTAAAAAAAATAATAATAATAAAAAATAAAAGGTTCAGTGGAGCCCAGTCGGGTGTGGCTCAGCGGTTGAGCATCGACCTAGAATCCAGGTGATTGGGGTTCGATTCCTGGTCAGGGCACATGCCTGGGTTGCGGGCTTGATCCCCAGTCGGGGGCGTGCAGGAGGCAGCCGATCAATGAGTCTCTCATCATTGATGTTTCTATCTCTCTCTCTCCCTCTCCTTTCCTCTCTCTGAAGTTAATAAAGATATATTTAAAAAAAAAAAAAAAAAGGTTCAGTGGATGCCAGGGGTTGGGGGAGGGAGGAATGAATAGGCGGAGCACAGAGGATTTTTAGGGCAGTGACACTACTCTGTCTAACACTGTCATGGTGGACACATATCACTATACATTTGTCCCAACCCATTGAAAGTACAATACAAAGAGTGAACGAACCCTTATATCAACCATGAACTTGGAGTAATAATAGTGAAGTGCCAGTGTAGGTTCATCCTTGTAACAAATGCCCTGCTCTGGTCAGGGAGGTTGACAGTGTGAGAGGCTGTGCATATGTGGGGGTCAAGGGTAATAGGAAATCTCTGTGCCTTCTGCTCAGTTATGCCATGAGCCCAAAACTGCTCTAAAAAATAAAGTCTATTAAAAAAATTATAGCTAACACTAATTTACCAATTACAAAACACCAAGCATTTGCTTAATCCTTTAAGTAGCTCACCCCTTTGAGAAGTTACTAAAGCCACAAACAGGAAGCAGAAAACCACAAAGTCTAGTAGAGCAAGAGTTGAACATATATTTGCAGAAAGAACAAACACCATGGAAGGAACTAGAAATATATGTGCACCCATGCTTAATTTCAAAATAAGAACATGAAAGAAACAGGTAAAATCAATAGTCATAATATATTCTATTTAACCCAAGGGCAACAAAATATCATTTCCACACCTAAGGAATATAGAAAATATTAAGGAGATATTCTACCTTTTAAAAACATAGGAGTCTCTGTCATCTGGTGTTCATTTTGCACATACAGCAGGTCCTAATTTAATCCAGCTATGTTTTGAGGGCTCACTAGCTGCACGTGGCCAGTGGCTGCTGGCCTGGACAGCTCAGCTCCAGAGGGTTTTTTTTGTCAATACTCAACCTATGCTATTTTTTCCACTAATTTTTAGAGAGAGTAGAAGGGAGGTGTGGAGGGAGAGAGAGGGAGAGGGAGGAAGAGCCAGAGAGAGAGAGAAAAAAATCATCCATTAGTTGCCTCCGGCATGCACCTGAACCAGGCTGGAGATTGAACCTTCAACCCAGGTTTGTGCCCTTGACCAGAAATTGAACCCATGACCCTTTGGTGATCGGCCAACACTCTAACCACGGAGCTACACTGGCCAGGCCTCCAGAGGGTTATAAAAGAGGGGGAAATCCACTTGGTGGATGACAGGAGCAATGGGACAGATGTCTAAGGTGGGTGTCAATTTGGACCCCAGGGAGGAGAAATATAGTCATCAGAGCAGGATCTGGGGGAAACAAAGGGTGTCTTCTGGGAGGGAGGAGAGAAATAGGGTGCTCTGGGGCTAGGGCAGCCAGGACTTTCACTTGCTGTGTTCTCACTCCATACTCAGTACACTCCTTCAGTGAGTTCTGATAATAGACCAGAAGAGGCTGCTGCAAACATGTGGCGAAAAAGTCACTCATTCCTTGCCCTGGTCGATGTTGCTCAGTGGTAAGACTGTCTGCCCAAGCACAGAAGAGTCAAGGGTTGGATTCCTGGTTAAGGGCACGTACCTAGGTTGCAGGTTCAATCCCTGGCCTGGTTGGGGCACGTGGGGGAGGCAACTAACAGATGTGTCTCTCTCACATAGATGTTTCTCTCTCTCCCCCTCTCCCTTCACTCTCTCTAAACATCAATGGAAAATATATCATTGGGTGAGAATTAACCAAAAAAAAAGTAGGTCACTCATTCCTTAAGATTTCAAGAGCCAGGGAACAGGAAATGTCAAGGGGTGGGGAAGGGGTGGCTCAGGGCTTTTGGGAGTCTGCAGCCCCCTGGCATCACTCAGCACCAAGTCTGTAAAATGGTCTGATAAAGAGCCTCCATTATGTTGGGTGAAGGGAAGAATGAGAAAGAAGCTGCCCGGAGGCCACGTGTAACACCAGCAAGTCCAAAACCAGATAGTGCAGACAGGCCCCTGGGCTGTGAAATATGCAAAAATGCATGTGGGTCATATTAAAACCTTACCCGACTGTGTGCTTTGAATATGTGCAGTGCATTGTATACCAATTAAACCTAAAAAGACCAGAAGAATCTTACCCCAAAATTGACACTGGCTCTCTGGGTGGTAGGTCACTCAGGATTTATTTTCTGCTTTGTGACTTTTTGTATTTTCCAACCATCGCCTTCCCCTTTCAGTGACATTGTATAAAATACATGGTCATTTAAAACAAATGCCAGCCCACCAGCCAGTACAGAGACAGATCTGCGAAGTTCCCCTAATGGGCAGAGCGGACACCGCCAACACCTCACGCCCAGCCCTTGCCCAGTGCTCAGCGACTGTGGGGACCAGGAAGCAAGAAACGCGCTTCTAAAAAGCCACCTCCCCGCCGTTGGGGAGCCCCGAAATCCTGCGGAATTGATCCAAACCATTGGGGGGGGGCCAGCGATAGTGACACGGCTCGGGGATGATCCCCAAGTGACATTTGCAGCCACGAATTCGACTGAGAGACCACGACTACCTCCTTTCCGCCGCCCGCGTTTCCCCCTCCGAGATCTTCTGTTGTCCGCCGCCCGCGTTCGCCCCTCTGAGGACCCACCTGCCGCCTCACGCCGCTGGGGCCCGGCCGCGCTGGCCTCGGTCCTGTGTCTTCTGTCCCAGGCCGCCCGCTAGCCCCGACCTCGCCTCCCGCGGTGGAGGAACACGGCACCGCGCAGGGCCCGCCCCAGCCCCGCCCGGCCGGATCTACTTCCGCTACAGACTACGGCCTCCCCGGAAGCGGAGCTGGTGGGCCAATGTCCCAACCGAGAGGGGGCGCACCCGGGCACCGCGCTCTACGTTGCTTGGCAACCGCAGGCGGGCCTTGAAGCCTTTAGTTAGTGCCTGCGGCTGAAGCCTGTGGGTGGAGCTTCGGCTGAGTTGGGAATGCGGGGCGGGGCCTCTAGCAGGGGACGGCCTGCAAGGAGGAGCTTGCGCCGACCCAGGACGCCAGCTAGGGTCCCGGCCTGAGGGCGGAGCCGACCTGGGGAGTGATGACTTTCTGGGAGAGGCGGCTCGCGGGCGAGGCCTGGAGGCTGGGCCGGCGTCTTCAGTTTTCCACCGCCGAGGCCGGAGGGAGCCGTTGGTTGGTGCGCAGCGGAGAGGCGTGGCTCGGGAAGTGCAGTTGGTTAGTTGGCGGCGAGTGAGGCCAGGCCGTGGTCCTGCTGCTGTGCCTGGGCTTGAACTCCGCGCTGGCCCGCGGCTGCTTGCACTGCCGTGGCAACTTCTTGGAGTTCTACCGCCATCACGTGAACCGCAGGTCCTGGTAGATGGGCGATATCCCCATGTCAGGCTCACTCCTCAGCTACTGGAGCCACGACGTGATGAAGGAGCTGCCCCTGGCCATCCCCGTCCAGGCGTTTCCCCGGCCCAGCCAGACCCCTGCCTGGGCAGCGCACCCGACCCCTCCTTCGGTCCCCCAGCCCGGGAAAAGCTGAACCAAGTGGCAAACGCCTTGTACCAGAAGATGGATCAGCTCTACCAGGGGAAGATATATTTCCTGGGTAAGGGTAATATATCTGCCCCTGTCTGCCCGCCACTCGAACCTGACTTCCCTCCTCCTGCCAACTCCCATCAGAGTATTTCCCCAGCGAACTTCTAGCCATCTTCTGGGAGCAGGTGCACCTCATCCAGAATGCCATCATTGAAAGTAAGCCAGTGAGGGCCTCGGGGACCTAGGGGCGCGGGAGTATTTTAGAGCCTCCTTACAGGCTGGGTGCCGGGGCCAGGGAGTGGCTGGGGCTGGAGTGATGTTGATAGGGCATAGCGCATCAGTGCACCAGGCATTTGAATTCAGAGCCTGCAGCCAGCATGGGACCGGACAGAAATCGGGAAGCAGGGCATCTCCCTGAGGGAGGGACCCTTTCATCCTGTGGTCACCAGCAGGAGCCCTTGAAAGATAAATCGACCGCTCCCTCACTGCCACATTACCCAACCGGACTCTAGAGGCACTGGAGAGTATTGCTGGGACCCTACCCAATGGTCACTCCATTCCAGGCTAGGAGCTACCCCAAGTGACTAATGGACAGACCCTGAGCCTTGGGCAGGCCTGAGAAGGTGGGCTGAAGTGGGGGACAGGCTGGGCCTGCTAAGAAGGTGTTCTCCATGCTCTTGTCCCTGCACAGGCCATATTGATTGACAACAGCACTGTGCTGAGTGAGCCTCTGTCTAGGCTGAGGGGTGTAGGGGCAGCAGCTTGGACCCGGAGGCTAAGGGGAACCCATGGCCACCTCTCATGTGTTGCAGGCATCTTCCAATACGAGACCATCTCCTGTAGCAACTGCATGGACTTGCACGGTGTGTGCTTTGGCTACAACTGCAAGTAGGGCTCAAGTGCAGCAGTGTGCTGAGGGCCCTGCTGTCCACGGGGTCCAGGGCTCTCCCCAAGGAGCCCCTCCTCTGCCTCCTCCCTGCCTTTTATCACCTGGCTAGGGTGGGGTGGACACAGCTGGCCCTCTGAACTCAGGGCCACATTGGCTCCACACCCCCACAGGTAGTTGGTGCAGTGGAAGACAGCTGTGCATGGCCTCCTCCTTTACATGTGAGTTGTAGAAATAATTGGCACAAGTAAGTCCCCCCTCTCCAAACCCAATGTGAGTTATGAGGTAGTAGGGTATGTGTGAAGGCAGCCACCAAGATGCAGGACCTGGCCCCTATGTCAGGGCCCCAGCCCCTTCCTCCTTTAAGGGTCTCTGAGCTTAGCTGGCACAAGGGGGTCAGATTATCCTGGTTAAAGGGTCCCTACCCACAGAGTCTGGTCTGAACCCCTGCCCCGAGTGAGTGGCAGGGCTGTGGTCAGAACCTAGGAGGGCCCCACATGATGGATGTGCTCCAGTGGATAGGCCTGGGGGCCATAGGCACTGCCTGGGCCCCAAACTCGGGGCTAACCAGGGCCCTGTCCTGTCTTTCAGACAGGACACCAACACAAGGTGAGCCCCCCCAAAGCCCTCGCCTGACAGTGGGTGGTGGGGAAGAATGGGGTGGGGTGGTGTCCTCCATGTCAGTGGCAGTGAATGAATGGGGGTGTTGGACACGGCCAGCATAGCCAGGGCAGGGCTTTCTGCACATGGGACATGCTAGATATCACCTGTGCAACCATATCCATATGATCACTTTATGAATGAACATGTCCTCTTTGCTGCTTGGATGCACAAAAACACTCCAACCTTGTGAGTCACCCAGGGGGAGAAATCGGTAGGGATGGGGAGGTCTGGGGGAGGGGGCACGGATGGCAACTCTAGGAGCAGGGGTTGTGCCTAAGCTAGAGATCAAAACCCAGAAGCCAGTTTACCACAGACTCACCCACAAACTTTTGCAGCCCCAGTTGTGGGAGTTGGGTGGGGACAAGAAAAGAGGCAGGGCCTCATGAGTTCAGTTTTGGGGGTCTGTGCAACCCTGTCACATACCCTGGCCCCTAGCAGACACCCACCAGTTAGGGGGAGGCGAGGAGAGGAAAGGAAATACTGAGGCATCTGTTTCTCTGCAGCCTGCTATCACCAAGCTTCAAAGGTGTAGAGCCCCCATACCTGGCCAATCTGACCCTGGAAAATGCTTCTGAGTGCCTGACACAGCACTGATGGCCACCGGGCCCACTGGACCCACCCCAGCTGCAACTTGGGGCCAGGATTCAGCTGGGCTGTCCCAGCCTGACCCTGTGGAGCAGGCTTGCTGCTCTCTGGGGTCCCTGCACACCTGCATCAGAGCCCAGGCAGGGCCAGGGCCAGGAGGAGGGGAAGGGGAATGGGAATGGGTTGTATATAGATGTTTGGCGGGATCAGGGCTATATAATAGCTGATTAAATGTCCCTGACATTTCTCATCATGGGGCAGTCCCTGTGGGGACAGGGAGAACCATGTGAGGCAATGGGTTGGGCCCGTGGGCAAGGCATATCTGGTCACAGGCAGAGGGTCCAGGGGTCCCCACACCAATTTGACTGTTATCTGCCACAGCGTACCTGGGCAGGCTCACCCAGAAATGAGCCTGGGAGCGAGATGGTTCTGATGACTCAAAGTGAGACTGCAGTCTGATGAATCAGGGCCAGCTTCAGTGGATCCTGAGGCTCAGATCACCAGGTCATGTGGGGCTGAACCCTACAGCACTGCTTCTGAAATCATTCCACATAGGTTCTGATCCGGGCTAGACAGCTGTCCCAACATGGGAAGGAGGATGGGAGATGCTGCCCTGAAGTACTTCTTGTGTCTCTCCATCTGGGTGTCGCTTCCCTGACATCCTCCTCCAGCTCCCTCTTGCTCTTGTGTGTATGTGTGTGTGTGTGGTGGTGGTGGGGGGGGTTTGAGGCACAGGACTGCTGAGGAACCCACATACCCTTGCATTGCTTCCTACTTAAGTTTCCCTGGTAGAATGCTAGCCACATTTTCACCTGAGCTTTTATTTGGTAGGATTTAAACAGAACAGCATAAGAAAGACTCAGGTGATATTTGGGTAGACTGTCAAATAGTGGAGTCAAGGGATGTCAACCACAGGGGTGCATGCCAGGAGCAGGGCCTGGTCACTCTGTCACTGCTGTTTCTGTTGCCTTGGCCTTTGCCTTTTCCAGCCCAAGGGCCCTGCAGAGTTGGTGTGCTGCACAATGCACTTTTTCCTACTGAGAAGTGGGAAGAGCCTGCTGACGGTGGTAGAAGGCAGGGCTGCTGAGGCCTCTCTCCATTGGTGCTCTAAGTGGGGTTTAGTGTGGGGCTGGTTTGTGCCTCTGCTCCTTAACCTCCCACACTTCAGGATTCAAGTTGGGGTTGATTTGGGCTTTCTGTCCACTGACCCAGCCTGACCAGGTTTGCGTTATCCTTGTCCATGCAGTGTCAGGAAAGCCAGGGCAATGTGGTGAATTACCACCAGCAGGGCCTTCCTTCCAGCATCTGCTCCCGCCACTCACCCCCAATCACCCAGTACACCCTCTTACCACTGCGGTTTCTGGGAAAGAGAGGGTGATGGTGACTGTTGGACCCATTACTCTGAGCCCAGAGACCTGGATGACATGTGGGGATCAGATTACTTCCCGAGATGAGGGGTGCATAGGCAGATGGGGACAGGGCTTTCCAGCATGCTCCATGAGGGTGTCCCACAGCCCTTATCTGACCCTGAGCAGCTCAGGGATGTTCAGAGATGTCGGCTGTGTTCAACCCCCTGCCCCTGGGCTATGGTGTGATGCACACTGCAATTGGCAGGAGACCCAACAGGTAAACATCTGTTTTGCAAGTTTATTGAATCATCTTGACACAAAATCATGACAGCAGCGTGATATGTCTCCTTTACACGGGAATGTTGATAGCAAATTCTTATATAACACATCATACATTTTCAAGATTCTAGAATCACTGCACAGGATTCTGCAATAGATTACATGCTAAAGTGACAGTTTTCATCAAAAGGATAGTTAAAATGCCATTGAAGACCATCATCTCTGAGGAAAGTCTCACTGGGGTGGGCTGGAGTCCCCTTGCCCTGCCCATGAGGCACATTAAGGGACCCGGCCTCCCCAAGACGCATGTGCTTCACCATCTGGGCCATGGAACCCAGGACTGGGCCCTCCCGGCAGCTGCGGGCATGATGGGAGGACAAACCCTGTGGCTCACCCCAAGCAACGTCAACTGAGACACATTCCACTGAAAAGGAAACAAAACAATGTCCAGTCCCTGCTCTGTTAAGGGTCCCAAATGAATCCCTACCCTCACTGCAGCCTCCTACCCCTGTGCCTTGGAGTCCACTGCCACTCTCTACCCGGCACACAAATACAGCAGTGGGACACAAAATGCAATGGACAACAAGCCTCCATGACCCTTTCTCCACCATGTGTCCTGGGGAGAGAGAACTGACCGTGGCTGTGAGGTATAAAGGGGAATGTCATTGTAGTGAGAAGCCAGTGCCCAGTTTTCACATCCCAGGTGGGGACTTGGGGACTTGTGGGACTAGGTGACTTCACAGAAGCAGGACGTGCCTCCCTAACTTGTTTGCTGAACACCTATCCCCTGGGTCCACCAGGTCCTGGCTTGGACTGGTCACACTCACTCCTTGGGCAGCTCCTGTGGCCAGGTGCAGTTGGCCCTGGCTATAGGAGTTACTGAAGGTTTGGGGACTGCAATGGGGTTTCTCCCCAAAGAGAGCGGGAAGAGTCAAAGTAAAAAAGATGACAGGAGAAATCAATGAACATATGACCTCAATGTCTAACTGGTGATGACAGTGGACTTAACGCCGGGCTGAATGAATACATGCGACAGAGGAGAAACTAGCATTTGGAATCCGTCTCTCCTTCACGTCCTCTCTCTGGTGGCCTCAACAACAGTCAGCACTTGGCCAGTGTCACCTTCATTTCCTCCAGCAGGTTGCTGAGCAGTGTGGCATCACTGCACTTCCCATCTACCGATACAGACTTCTCACCCTGAAAAAAGGAAAACACCGCCCACTATGTTGAAAACTGCATGAAAATCCTGGCTCACAACTACATGTATTGTACTTTTGATTTTTCTAAATGCTGTCCTATGTGTGGGTGCTTTCAAAATCAGAACTAAGGCAGGACCCCAGGTAGATGGCACAAGCATATGCAACCACATCTCCCACAAGGGGCTGTGGAACCTGCACTGGGGTCTGCAGTGGTGGCTGGGGGCCCACGACTGGCATCAGAACCTGGAAGTGGCTGGGAAGAACTTGACAGAGTGGGGTGACCACTTTATGGCTAGGAACTTCAGTAGGAGCATCCAGAGTCTGGATGGTTCTGGGGAGAAGCTCAGGGAAAGTGACCTGAAAAACTGTTCATGAACTGAGGATCTGCCTGAAGCTCAGCACACGTGGCCCTCGCCCTGACGACCCAGCACACCAGACTGAGAACACAGAGCACACCCAGTCCTGGCCTCACACATGGGGCATGTGAGGCAGCTCTGTGCGATGGAGGACAAAGGCTGTGAAAACTGATGGACATTGGAACCAGGAGTCCTGCAGCTGGAGCCTATGCTTCAACATTCTCCCCAGGACTTCAATAAGGCCCAGTCTTGGCATATTAAAAATGTCCAGAATACAGTCCTACATTACACAGCATACAAAGACCAGGGCATCTCAGCTTGCTGGGAAAGATAACTGATAATCACCCACACAAAGATGAAGCAGACGTCAGACTGATCTGACAAAGGTGGTGAAGCAGCTGTTACGAGAATCTCACAGAAGTAATCACAACACTCTTGAAACAGAGAAAACAGAACACCTCAGCAAAGAAATGGAAGATATAAAGAAAAACCCAATGGAAACTTTAGACCAAAAATGTGATAACCAAAATAAAAAATTCACTGAAAGGGTTCAACAGCAGAATGGACACAATAGGGGAAACAATGAATGTGACAGCAGATTACTAGAAATACTCCAGTCTAAGCAGACAGCACAAAGGGCTGGGGCAGGGTGGGGTGGGCAGAACTTAAGAGACTTGAAGGATGACAACATAAAGTCTGGGTTGAGGTCTTTGGGCTGCCAGAAGGAGAGGATAAAAAATGCAGTGCTGAAAGAGCAGTTAATAATAGCCGAAACTCCTCAAATTTTGCAAAAGTAATAAACGCAAAGATTCACCAAGTTCAGCACACTCCAAACAGATAAACCCAAAGAATTCAATGCTCCAAAACATCATACACTGCTGGAAACTGGAGACAGAAAAATCTGGAGAATAGCCAGAGAAAAAGTTGCACTCCCTATATAAAAAATAAGTAATGGTGCAGAGGAACGCAGACTTCTCATAAAAAACCATGGATTCCAAGTGGAAATAGCATGTTTTTAAAGTACAGCCATTCTCTGACTTACGATTTTTAGACTTTAAAATGATTTGAAAGCGATCTGTATTCAGTAGAAATCAAATGCCACATTTTGAATTTGGATCTTTTCCTGACTAGTGATATGCAGTACAACCTTGCTTGTGATGCTGGGCTCCTGTTGGCCCATGATCGTGACAGTTAACGCATGTGCTGTGTTGGTTGCAGCGTTTTCTGGATCCTGTGTTCTGCAAGCTTTTAAGGCAGGCTAGGTGAGTTCCGATGTTCTGTGGGTTAGGTGCATCAAATGCATTTTTTTTTTTT